TTAAAAAAAAAAAAAAAAAAAAAAGATTCCACAGTCTCCGGAGCAATCCTACTCATCCGACGGTTACCCAACTCCACTTTCTTAGTCAACTCCGAAACATCTTTCAGATTGAAACGCCAATCGGTGGGAATGGTGTACAACATATGGTTGAGTGTCTTTGCTACACCCTTACTGGTTTTTGCGGTTGGCTCTGAGAAAGATGGACAAATCGGTCGGAACATGTTAGGATCCTTGTGTTTGGGAATCGCATAAGCTTGCCCAAACGACCCTTTCGTGTTCCATCTGGCAAAGTCAGTGAGGTTAGCATCTCTCAGGTCCTTCATTTCCAAGAGAACCTCACTGGTATCGTTAGCAGCAACTGAGTAGCCGTCACTCCTGATAAACAGACCCATCATTCCCTCAAAGTACAAACATGGGCACATCATCATGGTTACGCTCGGATTCCGATCCAATGGGGTCAACACCAAACCCTCAATAGTCCTACCCCACTCGCGAACTACATCCTGTCCCAAGCAACCATTCACTTCATTCCTATCTTGCACACAAACCGTCTACTCGGCCATCGAACAAATCACCTTCTGATCCTTAATATTGGGCCAGCTGTCAAACGCAACTTCCAATTCCTTCCTCAAGCTAAGTAAACGATCCACCCGTGGTGGTTTAGGGACGTTTTTTGCATTGCCCAACAAACTCTCGCACACCATCCAGCTCATGCAAACGAAACTGCACGTGACTTCTTACCCGTGGGTAAGGAAGACCTGCACATGTGCAGGCCACCACTTCAGCGCGAGCGAATCTACGCTGATTGCGCAACAAATCCGCCACACTCGGATTTTTTGTCCAAATCATTCAGATCTTAGTTCGTGCTCGTTTCTTAACACAAGGAGGAAGGCATAACCCGCCCACCTTATCGTTTACCAGTTTCCCGACTTCAAAGAGTCTCACTCTATCATCGTACAAAACACGAACAACCAAACTTGCTGACAAATTAAATCTAAAGCAGTCACGAATACAACACAAAATCAAACGTCTCAAATACGTACGTGTGGTCTTACGCTCAAAGTCTTTAACCGACGAGAGTAACCCCGAGAGAAAATTCAAATCCCACTTCTTCAGGGATTTGTAACGTCTCGGGTTTTTTAGAAAAGAAATCAAGAAAGGTTTATTCATTCCAATTCTTATTTCCGGCGTCGTAGGTACGTTACCTGCACGACATATCCATTCTCATACTCAGTCTTAAAGTCTTTAAAGCAGCCTGATTTCCCATTGACTCGGACAAACGATAGCCCAAAGGTTTTCCGCAAAACACGCCAACGGTCACTCCAGTAGTTGCCTCTTCCAAAAAACAAATTAAACTTCTGACGACCTTCAACATCCTGCCGCTTCAAAGTCTCAAAAACCCGAATTGTCCCATCCTCTATGTTCTGAAGTTTAATTTTCGAGGGGCGGATACTACGTGGCTCAGCTATCCTAGGTGTCTCATCCCTTCGTGCCTTCTCCTTCTTCCCTCTTCTCTTGTTTTTTCTCTTTGAACTTATCTCGAAGCCCGCGGTATTTAGGAAAGCCCCCTATCGTTTGATAAATAGTGCTTTGGTGGTAAGGAGATCATCTTCACTCATAATTTCAAATGGGATAAGTGCATACGATTCGAGTCCAAATCTCAACAGCCATTGGTTAAGGTGCGTTGACTTGCCTTTCCTCTTCCATACGGATACGTGCTCCTTCCATCTAGTGTCAGGTTCTCTCAATGTCTGACCAATGTACTGCGATTTGCATTTCAAGGATGAGATGCCATACACACAGCTATGGTGCGTTAGGAAATCCAAACCAAGTCGGGAGAACAGGTCGAGCCAAGAATCAATACACTTGCGAAGCCATCTACAACAACCACGTAGAGCAAGATATACTACAAGGAGTCTAAATGTGCATTCCACATAAGGAATAAAGCAACCACGATCGAGGCGACAGGCTATCAATGGATCGCTAATAGACAACCACCGCTTGTCGCTCAACCCTAGTCACTGCCCCGAATCGTTATCCGAGCTCTCATGGCTCGACTTCTCTTCCTCGGCAGCCTCCAGGTCCTGTGAATCGGTCCTCGAGTGTGTTCCAAGGCCGAATCTTACCCGTTCCCTTGCATCAGCTAAGTCAAAAATGACTTGCACTTTTGTGGTGTAAGTAACGCCTTCTAGTCGACAGTAATCACGCAACAACTCACAATCCGCGATGGCCGATTCCCTCCTCGCTTGGTCCAGGTACATCAGTCGCTCCATTGCGACATTCCTCGTTGGTGGTTTCATGGCTGATGAAGCTTTACCCGTTGGTGAGCGTGTATTCTTCCAGATCACACGCGTCCGAGTCCGTTGCAGACGCTCAGAGAAACGAAGTTGCCGTATGCTTGCGCGTTGATTCTGCTTCTTAGCTGGCATAGTGACCGGTGGGCTGTTTCCCACAAGGGTATCCTCACCCCGCTTTCGTTTCTCAGTTGTAGCGAGATTCTCCGTGCCGACGGTTATTACCTCCACTTCGCTTGGCTCGCTCGCTGATCCGGAAGAAGAAGGTTGTTCCTCCTTCGCTTTCCCTTTCTCAACTACCTTACGCACTTCGTTCTTAATCTCCTCCTGGATCTTGCTTAGTCTCACCGCCAACTGCATTTCCACCGCCGTGGTCATTGCCAATTGTTCTTCCTCACAGCGTCGTTGCTTTTCCAGCTTCCTCAGGCAGTGGGCTTCCTCGGCTAAACGCTCCTCCGCCTCTCGTTGTAAGGCTTCTAACTCTTTCTTCTTTGCTTCCTCCCTTGCCAACCTTTTTCTCTCTTTTTCTCCACGACGTATCCTTTCCTGATCAACGAATTCCTTCAAAGTAGCCACACTCCCGCCAAGCTCTTCCAGTTTCGATGTGGTCTTCGAGTCCGCCGACAATGATCTAGGTAACTGTGCTCCATAGTTCTGTCTTGGTGATACAGAGCGACCACGCCTTTCAAACTCCGGCGGACATGTATATCCATCACGTTCAGCTTGCCTTCTTGATGTAGCGTCCACCTAGAATCTCCAGCAATCGCTACGGTAATGTCCAGGTACCTTACACCCGAAACAAACTGGCGGGAGTCTTCGCGCTGGTTCAGCGGAATCGTTACTCAGCTCCCGTCCATCACGTTCATGCGACCGGCCACGGTCGGACTCCTCACGTCCTCGTCTTCCATCGCCGTTATAACGGTCTCATCTATCGCCCCAATCCCGGGGGCGGTCACCACCGCCCATGGTTCTCCTTCTCAAACAGCATGCAAAACTCCGCAAACAACCAAGGGGAATGCCGATATGATACGCACGCCCTCCGTCCTTAACGCAGGTTCCTTCAGCTCCGCACGGTTGAGTTACTGTACCACCGTCCAAGTACTTAGTCCCGTCAGCGGTAACCCCGCCACGCTTCAGAAATAACCTGGAAAACACCGACCACTCTTCCTTGGTCGTATCGTAGACAACACAGCTTCAGTTGCCCGTACGAAAACTTGCTACTAACCACACCAAACGTGCTCACACACTCCCAGCCGAGATCCCGGGTAGGTTCACACGCTCCATAACAGGAATTATGAACAGATAGTAAATCAAAGAACACGCTTTCGAGACGCATTCATGACAGACTCGTGGCGTAGAGCACGACGCAAGTACGGCGACCTGGGATGCGAAATACAACGCAAGCATATCGAAAAAATTATTGAAAAATATTCAGCAACCGCCTGAACATTCCAGCAACCCAAGATCCACCCACGCGTCCGCACAACCTGTCTAAGACTAGTGGCAAGGCCGACTAGCGAAAGAAAGAGGTCGAATACTTACCAATCATTCTATTTAGACTGTGGGCCCGCTACTTAAACCGGTTCATCCGTCATCCTCGGCCCCTCAGTCTGAGCCAAAAGCAAAACCAAATAATGGGTCCTGGGCTCGAGGACCAGGCATTGGCCAAATCCAACAACACGCTGACAAGGACTCGTGTCCCGGGCCAGGGGTCAAACACAGAAAAAACAATAACACACAAACAAGCAAAACACAGGAACACTGAAGCAAATCAAAGCAAAACCCGCCCCTACCCTTACACAGTGTCAGCCTCTACTAGCAAACTAGCAGTACCCTACTCTACAGATCGATATCAGACCGCTGACTCTGGCTACTGTAACACAAAAGAAACACAAAAACACTCAAAGTGGACCGTACCAAAGGTTAACCCTGTTAGAATACTGCAAATAGATGGAAGTCGGAGGGGCATTTCAAACATTTTCCGGCTTCGTCTTTTCCTCACAAAGTTCAACTGGCCTTGGGATATCTTCATTGATGGCCAGGCTGCCCTAGGTATAAGGCTTGGACCCCACAGGTTTGCGGACTGGAAAAACTTTGCCCCGGAAACTTAACCGGGACCCCACAACCTTCCGCAAAGTCCTTGGAAGGCCGTTCTCCTTTTCCGAGAGAGCAATTCTGGAACCCCACACACCCGGAAACGATGATTGGAAAAGTTGGGTTTCGTGTTTTCACATGGTTTCCGACGTCGAAAACCAACGTGGGAGGAAAAGTCGCCGCATTTTTGTGCAGGGTACGGAGGGCAAGGGGGTGGGTCGCCTTCAACCTTTCCAAGATCGCGGACGAAGTGTGGACCTCCCTGTGTCCGTGTGCCGTTATCGCAAACACTCACAATTCCATATCAACGGGACGGGCCAACGGTCATAACGCAAGAGGAATGGGTCGACAGCCTGTGGGCCCGGTTTGCATAGGAACCCGCATGTTTCGATGCCGCGCGGAGGGGGCACCGCGTCGCTCAATGCCACTCACCATGTCGCCACGGACGTTGTTCCGGTCCTTCGACTACCACACGGACACTGCCCGACTTTCCTTTTCACGTCGACCGCACACAGCCTTTCCTGTAAAGGAAAATTTTGCGTTCAGTTTGCCGCGAAATGAACACCGCTGTGGGATCCGGAAAAAGCCTTTCCAAGCTTTCCAAAATCGTTCGGCCGTTTTCCATGGGGAAACCACTTTTCCATCCGCAAACCTGTGGGGTCCAAGCCTAATTCGGAGTGAATTATTAGTATATTCACCAAGATGGAGCAGGATTTGAACTCAAGTATGTATTTTCAACGGTTCATGGGGATACCAACTGAGCTAAGCTCGTTCGTGCAACCCCCAGACATTGTCCTTTTTTTTTTTGTCCTTTCTAAGGGCCTCGCCACATCACCCTCTGGAAATGTAAAAAAAAAAGAAAAAAAACACCGGATGTATCTGGCCATCGTTTAGCAGTAAGTTCATTTTCATTTTGCACATATCGAGAGTGGTGTGGCCAGGCCCTAAATGCACCTTGGTCTGCTTGCGGTTGGCCGCCATTCGTAGTAATGGGCCATGTATCGTGCCAGATTCTGAGGGAAGATGCACCTTTGCTTGGCGGAAGGTGGCGTACCGTCCACGTGGCGCACCACCTCCCTGCGGGTACACCCCCCCCTTTTTTTTTTCTTTTTTTTTCCGAATATTCTTTTCATATATGTCGTATTATATTACTATTCGGACTGCTTCCCCATCATCCACCGCGCCTTTCTTTATTGTTGTATCTAGACGTGTTTTTTGGTAAAAGACAGCTATACTGACCGCAAAAATACATACAGTCGGGTGGTCATCACAGAAAGGCATATAGCTTCCCTTTTTGTTCTTTCTTTTTTTACCTTGAAAAAAAAGACAGGTCAGGCGCAAGGATGACTCGGTAGCGTAGCTCAGGGGCGAGGCCCGTTTCTCGATTTATGCGTGTCATCCTTGCGCAGGGGCTCAGGGGGGAGGTGCCACTACAGCAAAGAGGATTGGATTAAACGCCTGAATCTGGACCCGTTCGTGGAAAGGTGCACAAAATCGAAATTGAACTTTTTTCTGCATTTGTGCTTAAATCCCGTCCAGATTCAGGCGCTCCATCCAACCCAATTGGACCTCTCCCCGGGTCATACTCACACGACCACTTTCCCGGACCTGGCCAGGATGCACCTAGCCGCTATTACGTCAAAATTAGAAGCCAAGAGACTCCTACCGGGGGCATGGTCCCATCAGCCATTACGTCGGATTGAATGCCCGAATCTGGACGTGTTTGAGGACAGGAGCACGAAATCGAGGTCTAACTGCTTTTCTGTATCTCTGTGTAAAGCATGGCCAGATTCAGGATTTCTATCCTATCCCCTTCGCTAGTGGGACCAGGGCCCGGTAGTGTGAGTTTGCCCTCAGGGCCTCCCCACACCACTCTTGAAAAAAACTCAATTTTTTCAAGGGGTTGCTGCATGGCCACACAGCCTCTTTTTTTTTTTTTTTTTTTGCCACACAGCCTCTTGAAACTTGGGGCAGTCAAGAGCAGTCAGAGTTACTGTGGCTCTTGAAACCCTTTTCCAAGGAAAAAAAAGGAGAAAAAGAAGAAGAAAAAAAAAGAAACCCTTTTTCAAGAGGGGCTGCTCTTGAAAGATTGGAAACCCCAGCCTGCTTGCAACTCGTGCGTTTTCAAGCGTCCTTGGCCGAACCCTTGAGGGACTGTAGATTATTATTATTATTAATTTTTTTTTTTACTGTAGATTTTCAAGAGTTGTCATCAGGCCGTTATCTTCTTCTTTTCTTTTTTTTTTTTGTCAGGCCGTTATCCTGACTGCCATTCGAGAGGCCTAGCCCAGTTGGTTAGGCATGCAAGTGGCATTCAGGAGTTTGTGGGTTCAAGCCCCATGGCCGCCTGCGGTGCACTTAGTGCCAACGGACTGTGATAGTCCTCTGGATACCCCTGATCGGTATTAGGGGGGGGTATGACTAACACGGGTGTGAGTGTGAGCGCGAGTGGGTTGTGTGTGGTGTGTGGGAGAGTGTTGGCCATAACCTCTGCTGCTACTCGATGAAGGGTGGGGGACGATGAGAAAGGGAGGCACAGCTACTGGCAGGTCTCGGTCTTTGTGTTAGCCAGACCCCCACTGGCGGCCCCAACCCTATACCCTAACCATTAGGGGCAAGGGGCAACATGAAATCTCCCCTTCACAGAGAGAGGAAACTATGCTTGCAGGGGTCCCCTCTAGATAGTCTTAGGAGTAGGTAGTGGAAGGTAAAAGAAACAGAAGTTGAGAGAAGAAAACTAAGAAAGAAAAAAAAAAACAAAGATGTACCACTCTCGTTTTTCCTCCTTTGTCCAACACCATCGCCCTTTCGAGAGTGCTGTGTGGCGAGAGGGGCCGAAAACTCTTGAAAACCCAACTCTTAGCGCCTCGCCACACCACTCTTGGGCCCTCGCTGCACTACTCTCGACATGCACAAAAGACAAAATTCATGGTGGTGTATCTGTCCCTAAGCTATTGGAAGATTCATTCTTGTTTTGCACATTTCGAGAGTAGTGCAGCCAGGCCCTTGGAACCCCCTTTTCAAGAGTTGGACGCGTCGCCACACAGCCACTTGAGAGTTGTAGCCCGAAAAACTCTTTCCAGAGTTGTCACAACCTCGTTTCAAGAGTAACACTCGAAACACCGAAACGCCCAGCATGCGCCTGCAGCACCGCTCTTTTCAAGCATCCTCCCGAGGGCACTCGAAGGGCCCTTGATTTTCGAGAGGGCCCTTGATTTTCGAGAGGGCCCTTGATTTTCGAGAGGTGTCAGGCCGTTATCCTGACGCCATTTGGAAAAAAACGAAGTTGTACAAATGTCGTGTTTCATCGTTTGTCCAACACCATCGCCCTTTCGAGAGTGCTGTGTGGCGAGGGGCCCGAAAGTCTTCAAAACCCAATGCTTGAGAACGTCAGACAGCTCTCGAAAAATTTCCTCGTTTCAAGAGTGGTGTGGCGAGGCCCTTACTGTTGACAACGTCTGACAACTTTTTAAAAATTTCCCCTTTTTTTTTGTTATGGGGTGGCGAGGCACTCAGTTGGTACATGTGGCGGACCCACCAGGTGTGGTGCTCCGCCTGGGACAGAGATGGAGATGGAGGATGAAGGGGGAGCAAGATGGCTCAGCGCAGCTCCCACGCAAGACTCCAACGCACGTACTCCAAGATGTGCGAATGTAGAATGAATCGGAAAATTGACAACAGCTGGGGTATACCCCCGCGGACTGACGGGACTGGACTGGACTGGCTGGTACCGACAAAGGTACCGGCCTGAACTGGATTGCCCCGAATACAACACAGGTCTGTGAGAACAGGTCAAGGGGCTGGTCTCACAGACCAACCAGAGGTCCGCTACACGATCCTCGGCCTGTGACGGATCGCCTAGATACAAGCTTGCTTCCACCAAGAAGCGGAACTCTACCAAAGAAAAATAAAACCTGAGTAGGAGCAAGCTCCATGCTGAGTCCATGCGATTGCAACCTAGGATAGGAAATGTCAACAATGTCACAGCTAACAGCCTAAGTGGAAGCAAAAGCAACTAACTAGCATACATGTCCTAGGAAAGCAAAAAGTAATGACAACTAAACCCTAGAATGTTGGAGGCCGTAGCCTTAGTCCTCAAACAACTAACTAGTGTATAAGTCGTAAGAACAGCAAAAGCAGAACAACTAAATCCTAGAAATGTCAGAGGCAGTAGCCTCAGTCTGAGAGCAACAAAGCAACAACAAGACAACGATATGTCACAAGAGGAGTTTGTCGCGAACCAAGGGTGGGATGGTCTCTGAGGGTGGCGAATGCAGCCTAGGGGTCGATAACTCTTAAGGGCATTCACACATAATGACAGGGGGAAACATATCATCAGGCTCCATGAGGGTAGGGAACTGGGAGCGAACAAAACCAATGACCCTAACAGATAGACCATCAGGGTGGGTAATGCTCGACTAAAGCGGTGACCGATATGGAGGGTCGACCATGCAAGGGAACAAGGGAGCCTGGTATACTGGGGCGCACCTAGATGAAGCATGCAAGGCTGCCTAACTAGGGTGTGAGGGACGACAGAGGGTAGAAAGGAGATGGGTAAGGGAATCATGCAAATGACTCATAAAGTGAGGGAAGTCGGAGCTATATCCGTAAGTTGGGAAGTCAGGGCAACGCTACGGCCCCGATACTTATGTGTATACCAAGAGAGAGCCCAACTCAGAGGTACCCAGCGAAGGGAAACCATCATGCGACACAACCAGGGTACTGTACAGGGTAAAGTGGTCAGAGGGTGATGACGTCTGAAGTAGGCAGAGTTGATCGTGACAAAGTCCATGAAGCTGTCGATGACGTCCATGATGAGAAGTTCGGAATGTCATCGAGGAAGAGCTGCAACGTCGATGAGATGAAGTAGCAAAACTGGTGTGGATGGAGTACTGAAAAGTCAAAGACGTGGAAAGAGAAGTCAGAGTCAATCGTCGAATCGAGCAGGACGATGACGAGTGCGTTGTGGACGCTCAGAAGCATCCGGCTGTTACTGAAGGTCTGCCTTATATGTAGCAGGCTCTACTTCAGCGGTCTCCTCAGCCGAGGGAGAAGGATGAGGGTCAGTGGGCTGATGAGGGACAGTCAACCCAACACGACGAGCACGATCATAAGCACGCATCAACATGCGAGCGTGCTGCAAGTGCTCGAGGGGCTCCCAAGTAGCCTCCTCATCAGGGTAACCCTTCCAACGTACGAGATACTCGACGTGAGGAGGGTTGTCGTTGGTGACTTGGCGACCAATGATGTCTGGAACCAGGAACTCCTTGTGGTCGTCCACCATGATGGGTGGAGGGCGTTCGTATGGTCGTCCAGCGAAACGCTGACTGACAAACTGTCTGCGGTAAGGATGCAATAACGAGACGTGGTAGACATCGTGCACACGAGCCTGGCGTACTATATAGGTAGTCGGGCAGCTTCACACGGAAGCTGACCGGGCTAGAAGCCGTATTAGAACCGACGGCCTAGAGAATGCGGCATAGGTCATAGAAGCGATGTCGAAACTTGCGAAGCGTGTCCACTTCGAGCTGTAAGTGGCGGACGTCGATAAGCACATCATCACCGACTTTGAATGGATGATCCATTCTCGATCGGTTCGCACGTGCGGCAATGCGAGTCTGGGAAGTGGCTATGTGCTCATGTGCGGTCTTCATGATCGACGTCATGTGTGCAACCCAATCATCCAGCGTGGGACAACTCGTGTCGGGGTGCATCTGTGACAGTTGAAGGAAGTCTGCGAGAACACGAGGGTGATAGTCGAGGTCGTAATAGTAAGGCGACATCCCCGTGGCTGGCGAGACGGCGTGGTGATAGGCTATCTCCGCGTGGGCAAGATGGAGATCCCTCTGCTGGTCGTCACGAACGATTTTTCGCAGAATATCTCCGAGAGTCTGGTTCGTGACATCGGTCTGACCATCAGTCTGGGGATGGTAAGACGAGGAGAAGCGGAGCTGGGTGCCGTAAACCTTGTGGAGTCGTCGCCAAAATCGGCTGGTAAAGTGCGGGTCACAGTCAGATATGATGTTGAGAGGTAAGCAATTGTCACGCACGACTCGGTCAAACACAATGTCGGCGACCTCACGTGCACTGATGGCATTCGGAACAAAGCGTGCGTGCTTCGTGAAGCGGTCGACGACGACCAGGATAACATCATGACCACGGGGGGTTGGAGGACGAAGAGGACCGATAAAGTCCATCGAGATGGGTTGTCAACGACCCTCAGGGCTAGGAAGAGGTTGGAGCAAAGCATAAGGCAGGTGGTTGGCATTGTTCACCTCCTGACAGCTGGGACACTCTGCGACGTAGTCCTTCGCAAAATCCTTGCGCTTCGGCCAGACGTACAAGCGGCTCACATGAGCCAACGTCTTGTGGAAGCCCATATGACCGACGGCAACCTGGTCATGGAACTCTGCTACTGCCCGGACACGTAGCTGTCCAGTGGAGGGAACGCAAATACGGGGCTCTCTGGTGCCATGTGAACTGTGCCAGTACACAAAACCGTTATCCCCGATAGAGTACTTTGGCACGGTCTTGCCACTCCGAAGGACCGCATGGATGTCACGATAGTCGGGGCAGTGGCGGTAATAAGTGCGAAACTCGTCGATCACCGAGTGGTGGATGGTGGTGACCGAGATGGAAGCGAGCTGGATCTGCTCCTGATCGTGATCAGGGCAACCGGGATAAGGCATCTGCGACCCGATTAGTCTCACCCTTGATGTGCTCAGTGGTGAAACTAAACTCGGATAGATGGCGCCACCAGCGAGCCTGTCGAGGAGTGAGCTTCAGATTTGTCAGAAAAATCTGAACAACAAAGTTGTCCGTGCGCACCGTGATGGTGGCCCGTGCAGGTAGTGACGCCAATGTCGAGCGGCATAAACTACTGCGAGAACCTCACGTTCATCAGCAGCGTAGTTTATCTCGGCGGGTAGAAGCTGACGGGAGTTGAAGGTTATCGGACAATCACCTGAGCGAGACTCGACGGTGCCGTCGTCGGTGATGGTAGGAGAATAGTCAATAGAAGGCTCGCCAGTGGCTGGACGAGTAGGCGTCAGGTGGGAAGCAGTGGTAGGGGTGGGGGGTGGGAAGCGAGGGATACGAGGATGAGAGGAATCGGGAGAGGAAGGGAAAATCTGAGAGAGCACTGCTCCTACATCAAAGTCGGACGCATCGGTGGTAAGGATAAAAGGGCGATCAAAATCGGGTAGGTGAAGAACCAATGCGCATATCATCGCCTTCTTGAGGGCGTGGAAGGCGTCCTCGTGGAGGGGTATCCAAGCCCAGCGGGGGTTCTTCCGGAGGAGGGTGGAGGTAAGGACGTAAGAATACCTAACAAATCCCTGGATGAAATTACTATAGTAGCTGACAAGGCCTAGGAAACTGCAAAGCTGCTTGGCGAATGTGGGGACGGGCCACTCCGCAACAACAGTGATCTTTGCGTCGTTCATGTGGAGACCTTGGTCAGACACGTAGTGTCCTAAGAAATCCACTTTGTGCTGGGCAAAGCAACACTTGCTCAGCTTGGGGTAGAAGTCATGTCTGCGCAAGCGGTCAAGGACGTTGCGGAGGTGTCTGAGATGCTCATCAAGGGTACGGCTGTAGGCCAAGATATCATCGAGGTAGACAAGAACGTACTGCTCAAGGATGTCCCTCAATATATCGTTCATCGCCCTCTAGAAGGTGGCAGGTGCGTTGGTGAGGCCGAATGGCATCACCATAAACTCATAGTGGCCGAAGCGCGATCGGAACGCTGTCTTCGGTTGGTCCGCTGCAGCGGCGCAGATCTGATGGTAACCGCTACAAAGATCAATCTTCGTAAAGAAGCGGATGCCTACTAGGCGGTCGAACAACTCGTCGGAACGAGGCAGGGGAGAGTTGTTCTTAACCGTGTAGTGGTTGAGACCACAATAGTTGATGCAGAGATGGAGAGTTTCATCCGCTTTGCGAGCAAAGAGGACGGGTGCACCCCACGGGGAGTTGCTGGGTTTAATAATACCCAGTCTCAGGAGCTCCTGAAGCTTACGCTTGACTTCGGTGGCCTCGGGGATCGAGGGTCTATAGGGTGCCTGGTGGTGAACACGATAGTCAGGCACAAGTTGGATGGAGTGCTCGACGTCGCGCATCGGTGGGATGTCGGCGTACTAGAACGACGAAGGGAAAACGTCATGGTACTCTCGAATGTCGTCACGAACTGCAGGCTCCAGGTCAATCGTATATCGTGCGAGTTCCTCAGCGTCAGCGCGCGACGGCGGGGTCGACTCGACGGACGACGGAGAATGGGAAGTAGAGATGGGAGCCATGAAGATAGAAGGAGGATCTGACTCCAGAGGGATGAGCTCGACGTCGGGACAAGGTGGATCAAAGTGTAAGAGATCCGTAGCGTTCATCATAAAGAAGGTGACGTCGTCCTGTCGGATGAAGTGAGCAAACTGTCGATGCGAGATGACAGTGATCGTAGGAGATGGTGTGAGCACGGAAAGCTCCGGGGGAGGAGAATCGGGGCGTGGTGTTACGGTGGTACCTATGAAAGGTACGCGATACGTCTGTCCACACTTCGTTTTGAGAACGAGAGTGTTGATCGCCCAATCAGCCTCGGTGCTGCGGAACCGACGAGACCACGGAGTACCGAGGATGAAATCGTACCCCGTCTCCATCACATCGAAATGTGCGGAGGAGCGGTGGCGACGAGACGCCGGGGGACGATAAGTCGGCTCGAGAGTGAGGAAGAAAGGGAGGTTGGTGACCGTCTGATCGAAGAAGCGCTTGGTCTTGTCATCCCCTAGGGTGACAGAGATGGGAGTCGGAGACCCTATCGTGGGTAAGCGGGCTTCTTTCACCACACGTGGATGAATGAAGTCGCCCTGAGAACCGGAATCCCTCAGCGTTGAGTACACCCTCGTGGAGGTCCCCAGTCGTACGGGGATGATAGGGAGGGTGCGATCAGGGTCAGAAAGGATGGTAGGAAGGCGACGCAGTGCAGCGATATGGAGGGTGAGTCGCTCCCGATGAGCCTGGGGCAGGCTCAAGTCCAGAAGAGAGGACACAACGTCCTCGCGTTTCGCAAGTTGCTCGCTGCAACGGGCTGAGCGAATGGCTCGACGCATGGGTAGTCGCGGCGGGGTAGGAGGGGAGACGGTGGTCTGCGGAGGCACAGACGGTATTGCGACAGAGGGCTAAGTACACTCTGTCGGGTCCTGCGAGACCTCAACTCCAGTAGCGAGAGGGGCAAATTGCGACCGGGATGTCGGGAAGTCGATTACTGAGGAGGGCGCAGGTGTACACTGCACCGTGGCTAGGAGGCGCCACGGGGATGCGAGGCGCCGGGGGGGGACTGAGCACGACGCTTGCGGGAAAGGTCAGCGTAGGGCGGTCGAGGGTGGCGGTGTAAGGGCACCGCGAGGAGGTATGACCGTCCTGGCAGCAGCGCAAGCACCCACGCTGGTCCAAAATAGTCGCGCGCTCTTCAGCGGAAAGGACACCACGAGGAGGGACAAAGCCCTGAGAGAGGTCCTGCTGAGGGACCTCGGGGGGCGACGCACCAGCGTGACCAGAGCGATTATGTGTCCGGAAGAAGGCGGAAAGGATGAGCTGGAGGCGCTCGACCATAGGGAGAATAAAGTCCTCCAGGTGGTAGTGGACGGCCTTGTCGAGGTCGAGGTCGTCGCTATGGTCACCCTCTGGCGACAGCGGGGCAACAGCGTCCTACTCACCATACTCGAGCACGCTGAAGCGGCGCGAGAAGTGGCAGTCCTGCTGCACGGAACGGCTTGGGCAACTGCGGAAAGGGGAACGACGTTGGGAAGTGTCGTGAAAGGAGGAGGGGGTATAACCAGCACGCTCGGGTTGGGAGGAGAAGGCGGGGTGAAGACGGGTCCGCATCCGCTGATGGGTCCTAGCCGCCTCGTAAGCCTGCCGGCCCGATGTGAACTCGTACCGCCATAACTCGGAAGGGTACTCAAGGGGAAGGTTGGCCAAGAAACGGTCGATGAGGGCAGCCTTGAAGAAGAACGCCACATCACAAATGAGGCGGGCATCCTGGAAGACCTGGATGTGGCGATCCAGGTCGGCAGCGCCACCAGAGTCGGACCAGCGTGTAGTGATGACACGCTCGAATGCATCACTCACATCATGTCGGGCTCCGAAGCGATCCTCGAGGAACGCCTGGAAATCCATGAAGATTGGGGTCCAACCCTCACGAAGGGAGTGCGTGTAGAAATCCTCCCAGGCCTCGAAAGGACCGTCACGTAGACTCGTGGAGAGGTGACTCACCCACGTGTCGGGTGGGGCGCCCATGAGCTGGAGTGTGTGGGTGGCAGACTGCAGCCACCGAGACACGCGTATCGTTGTTCTGTCGTACAAGGCAATGTCCGCCAATCGGACGAGTGGTGTGCCACCGTTTTTGCGGCAAGGGGATCGAGGGGCAGAGACTTGTGCCACGACTGAGTAAGTCGGGGCAGGTCTTGGAGAAAGGGGCGCAACTGACTGTACGCTCGGTCCGCATGGGGGAGCGGTGGGGGCTATAGTGGCAGGCTGCGAGGGAGTTGAGGTAGAAGAGGTCGCAGCAACCGAGGGGATAAGAAGAAGGTAGCATGGGGCTGGATAGGGTGCAGGGCGAGGGAAGCGAGCCTGCATGGAGGAAAAGTAGAGGAAGGAGGCACGAAGGCGCGGGCACCTGTGAGGGTGGGGGTGGCTGAAGGCGTAAGAGGGCGAGGTTAGCCTGGGTCTGGCAAGCTCGTCCTCGAGAATGTCGAACGTAGATCGAGCAAGGAGTGGCAAGAGGAAGAGTGGGGGAAGTGGACGCACGAGCGGCGCGGGGCATCCCACAAGGGGGGGAGCCAGGTGGCGTTGCGGTCGTGCGAAGGGGAGAGAGAAGTAGGACATCTGAAAAAGAAAAGACCACATCAGCGGGTAGTGGTCCCGTGGCCGTAGTGACCGGAATCTGGGCGGGTGCGCCCGTAGAGTGAGGGAGGGTCTGACCCGTGGTGGCCGTCGCGCTAAGAGCGTGGACGGTCATCAGGATCGTCGTGTCGGGGGCGACAGACGAGGAAGCTTCGTCGTGGCCACCATGTCGGAGGACAGGGGACCCGGACTGGGGATCAGAAGAAGAGAGAGAGTGGGGAGAGGAAGGACGACCAGCGTCTTGGAATTACCGCAGGTCAGCGGCAAGAGTCACCATATGCGCTTGTAAGGGCGCAAGGAGGGAGGTGATGAGGGTGTGCAGATCCCCCTGGGGTTGATGGCCCTGATCCGTCGGCATGGGTGTGGAGCCCGATGTCGAGGTCGTTGCCGCATCGGCAGCTTGTGACACGTCGTCGGCCATCGGGAGGTAACGGGCCGGACTAGAAAGGGTCGGAGGAGATCCGCGTGAGCGAAGGGCGTAGGGGGGGGAACTGGGATAGAAGGCGACGGGCGACGCTAGTAAATCGAGCGCGGGCGTCATCAAAGGGGGAGGGGTGGTTCAGATCTAGGGTGGCCGAATGAGAAGGGAAAGTAGGGGGGTTAGAAAAACCCTAAACCTTAGAAAAACCCTAAGAAAACCCTAACTGGAGTTTAAGTGGTTAGGGTAGGGTACCGGTGACCTAATCAAGAAAATAAAATAGCAAGCATAAGGGGGAAAGGCGGGAGAAAAAATAAATAAACGGCGAAATTTCAAGAAAATAATAAAAAAAAAATAAATAAATAAATAAATAATAAAAATAATTAAATAAATAAGGAAACAAAAATATGAAGAGAGATAATATTTATTTTTTTAGAATTTTCGGCAGCATTTCCCTACCCCCCATGGGGTCAAGAATGTGCCAAGGGAAAGGAGAGACCAAGATAAGCACATTAGGTTTCAAAATGCCGCA